CAAATATTAGTCAAACGCTCTAGAGACTATCTTATAGGTACGTATTGATATTCATAGATATTTTAGAGCATAATCTTCTAGTTTTATTCTGTAATATAAAATGATATATTAGTATCTTCTATTTAAAACAAATAATCAAATATGTTTCTAATTCTATTTATACAATATAAAACATTCAGATGGAAGTAAATCGAACACAGTATCTGTAATAACAAAAAAATTCTTTTTACCTGAAATGTTGGAAATACAGCATCTATATTCAAATAATAAATAGTTTACTACATGTATCAGTCACGATTCAAAAAGAAAGATTCACTCACATTATACGAACAATCGTTACTAAAAAAATTTGTTTCATTTTACCAATATACGTTATACAATCCAATGATTTATGTCTTTCAGTTAATTTATGAACTTAACATTATTTAACTAAGATCAATGTAATTCTAAACTGATATTTATTTTAGTTTTATTTGAAATAATACGCTATAAATATAAATCAATGATATTTTAATCTATCAGATTAAGACCTGTGTTGATTGATAGCTTAATTATATTGATGGAAGTTTTTAGATTTTCAAAATGTTGAACTCATGACAAACGATTGGCATTGTATGAAAAAAAAACTATAGAATTAAACTTGTTCACCTAAATATTTTATATTCATCACAAGTGCTATTTGATTCAATAGAGTTCTATGACATTATTTAAATATATTCTTTGTTGTTTCTTGATTGTAGACAAAGTACTGAAATGGTTGATTATATCATTCAGAATAAAAAATTTACAGATAAAAATCTTTATTAATTTTTAAAAAAAAATATATTTTCAGAGATTGTATTATTTTACAAAACTGAAGCATCTGAAAACGTTCTAGTATCAACTCGATGTTCAGCTTCAAGTCTTAAATAAGGCCCATTATAAATCAATAATACTAAAGTACTAATAACAGAACAACAAAGAATAAATATAGATGTTGGTGTAATAATAATCATAGAATTTGAAATAGGTTTTGATTTAATAAGTTCACCAAGAACAAAAATAAATATACCACCAAGAACATTTCCAACACACATTAAAAACCCAGTTGACCATTCTGCGCGAATTGGATACGTACATTCTACAGCACATTCAAATGCAACAGGTAATAATGGTAATAAAAAGAAACCCATCAAACCAATTGAAACAGCTAATGGATAGAATTGATTCGGTTGAAGTATTAAAATAAAATAAATACATGATCCACAAGCACCAATTGATAAAAGTTTTAATATAAGTCGATATGCATGTGTTCGATCCATAATAATACCTGCTAAGAATGCATTGAGAAGACCAGCAATAATAATTATTGCACCAAATATTCCAGCATCAGTACTCGAATAACCTGTTGGTTGAATTATTTGATAGAGCAATGCTGTTATTGCATTAAAAAGTGCTAAACCAAGAGAAAAACTAAATAGAAGTATTAGATAATGCCGATTTTTTAATAGATCAATAAGATCTTTTTTAATATTAATTGGTAAACGATGTTCTTCTGATGGTGATGGTGGTGTAGGTGGTTCGGATCGAAATAGAAATAGAACTAATAATGTTGTTAATAATGTAAAACCAGCTTCAACAATTAGAAGAATAAAAAATGAGGTTGATGAAGATCCATCAGTAACAATTAATGATGGAACAAGAGAACCAATAGCTAAACCTATATAATTTATATTTTATTAATACTTTTTTTTTGTCTTAGATTTATTTCGAAGTTTTACCTAATGGATTAGCCATTGAACCAATAGCTGTAGCAACATCACGTTGTTTAGGCGCAAACCAGCGTGCTGCAAATAATGCTGTTATATTCATAAATAAAGCTGTTGAAATTGCTGGAAATAATTGACCAATAATCAAAGCTGCATATCCATTTAATGGTGAAATTAAAGAAAATAAACGAATAAATGCACCGAGATTTAATATACTTCCAACTATTATTCCTGTTCGTAATGAAAATTTTTGATTTAACCATATTGATAAAATTGTACCAACAGGATAAAGAAATAGAAATATAATAGCTAAAACATTTACTTGTATTGTTGATAAACCATAAAATTCTGATGTTTCGGATTGAATTGGTGAAAACGTCATACTATGTAAGGCATTTGAAAATGTTGCTAAAACATAGATTATCAATTGAATCCATCGAGATGGATATACACGATAATTTGTTGTATCTGTTTCACCCATTTTTTTTGTCTTTGAATCACTTGAAGTAAAAAGTATGTAAACGCGTTTTTTTTTCTTGTTCTTTCTATTCTTTAGTTGTATGAAAAATTTTGTGGGCGATTTATTATTAGATGTGTGTAGTAAAGAATGTATGATGACGGTAGTTTAACCGAGTCATGCATAGCAGGAGAAGGTAAATAGAAATAAAGAAAAGAAAGTGAACCAATAAAAATATACTCCAAACTTAACCAAATAAACTCCAGTTTTTTAAAGTAATTCTTCTCTCGAGAAAATACTTTATAATTTCAAAGAATCTCTGCTGTAGACATTAAAATATTTTTACCATAGAATCACGTATTAAATTATAATATAATATAAACAAGTGAATGTAAAATAATCTTAAATTATAATTTGATACGAAACCATCTAAATCTTATAATCCTATTTCTTTCGTGATCAGAAAAATAAACATCTGAAAAAAGATGTCACTAATTTGAGATAAACTTTCCAAATCTATTAATCTTCTGTATAAAATAGAAATGAGTATGAGACATCATACAATATTTTCTTTTATTAAAATCTATACCCACAAAAATGCAGGCGTGTGACGCCCCTACATTTCGATAATAAGAAAAATATCTCAATGTAAATTTATTTTAGAATTCTGTAATATTTTCAATCGTAAACGATAAAGTAAAAAAATACATCCAATAAAATAAAATAAAATAAATAAAACTATAAATGATGCTTGAAAATAACTATCAAATGTAATAAAATTCAAATGTCGAATATCAATCTTAGCAAAATTATATAATTTCATATCATAAAATGTTAATTGTTTTAGAATATTTTGTACTTCTAAATTATATCTAATTCGAGCATTATATTTCAATACTTTCATACGAAAAAATCCAAGCCAACTTGCAATATTAAATAAGAAATCTAACATCGAATGATTTCGATTTAAATTTGAGAATATTTTTGAATTTAATTCATTATAATCATACATTAAATTTTCATAAAAAGCAATATAATTAAATAATTTTAAATGACTTTTTGCTAAATCATAAATTATATCGGTATTATTTTGTTGTTCAATAAAATGCTGTCTTTCACTCATTAATAAATGATAACCAAGTTGCCAAGTCATACTATTATTTATAAATGATTGTATTATCGGATCATTTGATGTTAAAAATTGTTTTAATGTTAAAAACGGACGTCGAAATAAAAACCCATGTTTAGAGTAATCATATAAAGATAAAATTCGTTCAATTGGATTACGAAATATTGTTATAAATATATTTGATTTTTCATCGAAAATTTTATATTTAGCTAAATCATTATACGAATAAAATCCTTTGATAATATAATAGGATTGAAATTTTTTATATCGTTCATTATTCAATAATAAACAATCCTGAAATTGTTCACAATGATAAGTACTTTTATCATAGATTAATCCTGTTTGTCCTATCATATGTGTTCGTAATGAATCACTTGCTGTACGTGGAATATGAATAAAATATATTTTTGATTTATTTAAATTTTTTTTTATTGTATCATTATATATAATTTTTGTTGATAAATCTTGAATAAAATTATGTAGACGTGGATTTTTTATATATTTTTCAATTTTGTCAAATGAAACATCCATATATATTGATATCAAAATGAACAAGACAATGAATATCGATAGAATAGTATATCTTAATTTATATTTTCGTAACATTATTTAGCGTGTCGGTTCATCTGAAAATATAAACTACAAAGAGAAAAAGAAACATTTTTCTAAAGGAAGGTATGAGTGTCACAAGCTGCATTCTTTTACGTAGTGATGGGTCAACCCGTCTTTTTTAAAAACTTAAAATTACGAAATCTTACAAAAAAGCTTACGAAGTTATGAGAAGTTTGCGAAAGTGTATCACTGACGCGACCGTTCAGTTTCGTTAACTTCGCATTTTCTTTCGTAAGATTTCGTTCCAAAACTACTTTTATGTCTCTTTATTTCTCAACTAAATAATTTAGGATCATCTAATCTGAGCATTACATGTAACAGTCGTTTCGAAGTAAGAAAATATGTATTATTATTCTTGGCGTCACAAAATTATCCGTTTTATTTTGTCAACAGATTCCATGTGATGAAATGAAAAAAAATTCTTATTGTTCTTTCATAGCGACACACAACATAAATTGTATTGAGCGAGTTATTGTATGACGTAAATAAGTGACAACATTTGTGAAATTTTGTTTTTACACTGAAGTGTTAGTAGTCAGATTTTTTTTCGTTCTTGAATAGTTTTTCTTAAGTATTATATGCACATCCTCAGATTGATTTATTTACGTTTAAAATACTTATATGTTGCACATAACAATGCGAAAGCTGCAGAAAGTTTAATAATGGTTCTAATGTCAGTTAGATTAGAAAGGATCTGTGCAATTTCTCTCAAAATTTCAGTTTGATCTCGTGAATGTTGCAGAATTTCTTGCACTTGTTCTTGAATATGATTGTTGGCAGGCAATGATAAAGTATTAGTAAATATTCTTTGACGTAGGTACTCGAGAAATTGGACAAATTCTTCTCCTGTCATCTGTTGCGCATCATGATAAGTCTGATTGATTGATTCTCTAAATTCACGTATAACAGTTCGAAGAGCATCATGCTGAGTTGAATTATTCGAAGGTCTTATCACAGTTGAGCTTTGATTGTTGTTATCTTTTGAAAAAAATATAAAGAGAGTGACTCTAATGATTATAAGGATTATTAAAATAAAAATTTAACGTACTAGATGTCATTTGTAATCGATTTCCTTTATTTCCTTTATTTCCTCAATTAATTGTTCGAAAGCTGTATCAAAATGATCTGCCGAAGAAAAATCAATATACAATCGATCACGAATTAATATACCAAGCCATCCATCAGGTACATATGATGTTTCCAAGAGACATGGAATAAAATCAATTTGTCTTTTATCAGTATACAAAGCCTCTATAATATATATGATTATTAATGAAAAATGTAAAAACGTACCTGAAAATATTACCTTTTTCGCAGAAATCACTATTCGAATATCGACTGTTTATGCAGAAAAGAACAATGTAAGAATTTTCGATTGCTTCAGCTATTCTCTGATGTAGTGCACCGCGCAGATTATTCGTATCCATCCATACTTGATAGCCTCGATTCTGTCAGAAAAAAGATCAGATTATTTATATAGACAAATTCATTATATACAAACTCTTAATTGAGTACAAATTCTTCGGCAAATGTCAGATGTTTCATCGTGAGAATAACTTATCATAATGTGTCGGTGTCCTGAACGAAAAGTCAACCTTGGAGCTTGTAATTCATCTTTAATACGACAATGAAAAAATTTGTATTACATAAACTTTCCGTTATTCTATCTTATATACCTGTTGGTGTGGCAGCTTGTGACACAGCGTCATGCTCATCATTCGTTGGAGATTCAGTGCCATTATTCTCATTAGGTGTATTACTTTCGTTGAAGATCGAACCTAAACGATTTGTAAGCATCTGCACTTCTTCATTTACAGCTGTCGCTAAATAAATAAAAATAATACACATAATATTTTGAAAGTCATTTAGCCTCACTTGCTCCTCGCATAATTGGCGTAGACGATATAGGAGTGTCGTCTGTAGTTGTTCGTCTTGTATTATTAATAGTATCGTTTGTCAATATCAGATTGTTGAAATCGATGTCAAGTCCTTCTGCAAGAATAGATATCAGTATTTCATGAAAATATATTATGTATTATCACTCACGAATACTGGAGCCTGAAGACTGCGACATATTTTCCGTATTATCGAGTATAATTTCCTAGAAATTAACATTTTTGTTTTCTACTCAAAATTTTTCACATAAAGAATATGAATAAGTTTACTTGTATTTCATTAACTATCATAGCACCAAGTGATGTTCTTGTTGTCATGTCTTCATTATCATTTGATGACGCCATTTTTTTTACCACTGTTTCTAAAAGAACAAACGATTTACAAATATCAACATATTGTCGACAATTGGAGTTTATTATTCTAGCCGATAGACTTACATTTTTCTTCTTCGTTAATGTAGTTCTTATTGTTGAACGTCAATTGTGCAGATTTTTAAATGAAAAACTTCAAAGGTAAAACTAATTTAGTGGATAAAGTAATATGATACTCTTGATGTCAATAGAAATCTTTGTCTCTGAGTCTGCATACTTAAAAAAAAGAAAAGCTATTATTGACATAATCAGAGTTATTCTTCAAAACCACAAAAAAAAGAACGTTTATGGACGTTTCTTTTTATTTTTATAGACATCAATCTCTTTTTCATTTGCTTTTTATGTATTATAGCGTATATACGTGTATCTCTTATCAGTTTTTTTGTATTTCTTAGCTTACACAATACTATAAAAACGGCGTGATGCAAACAATATTGATTCATGAGAAAAATAAAACGATTAAAATGAATATTGCAGCTCATGTAGGGCATAGTGGGGGATGTCCATAATGTTCAAATATTTTCTTGAGGAAAAAATTACTTGAAATGTGTGATGATACTATTTTATTCCAAAACTAAATACGAATCTATACAAAAAAGAGTGAAGATATATCATACAAAAGAACAGAACAATACATATCTACTGCTTTCAATGCCTTCTCTCATACATCCAATACATTCAAACACATCCTCTCCTACTCAGAACAACAACAAAAAAAGGGAGATGAAGAAAAGGAATGGAAGAGGATCGAAGAGACAAAGGAGAAAAATGTGACTGGAATTATACAAAGATGAAAGAGAAAAGAATGTATCATAGCCAATGGACATGACAAAAGAAAATTATATGTTCTTGCTAGAGTCTGCTTTACATAATAAATCGGATACTTAGGAAATTCTTGATATCGTCTCTGAACTCATGTTTTCTCTCTTAATTTTTTAAAAACCCTATAAACTATGATGCATTTTTATATTATTTCATCATTTATTTTCGAAATGATAACAAACTTCTGAAAGTTTATCCATTATAAGTCGAATTAAATATATTTCATAGCCTTTTGACTATAAGAATATATAGGACTTTCTTTAGAGATAGTTTCGAAAGTTCAATATTTTTCGTACAACTACTATTAGTTGTAACTCTGAACAGAAAGTTTTTCTGCATGTCAATCACGTAGTTATTGTGCTATCGGATAGTTGATCCACTATGGATATGTGAGTGTGAGTGTAAAAGATGAATGGAATAATCGCATATCATATTCACATTTATGCTTTCATCTACTTTCTCACGTTTACAGAAGAGAAATACTTGATATGGGATACAAGATTTCGTTTTGTCAGATATGAAATCAATATCACAAAAAAGAAATATGTTGTACATTTCAAGGTCATCGACAAATATTAATTAATAAATCATTTTCTTTTAGCCATTTGAACTTGATGAAGATGCGCGTATGGATGGGTATGAGATAGTACATTTCTGTATCGTCCATATCTACAAGATCAATCCTTTCTATTTCATTCAACATTTAATAAATAATTATTCTCGAAAGCATATATTATAGTTAATAATGTAAACAAAAACGTCACAAAACACATGACTACAGAATAAAAAGGTTTTGTTTTGTTTCTATAGCACGTATAAACACATCAGATAGTTTATTGATCGTTTTCTTCCTATCATTAGGAGAGAAGAGGAGAACATGTGCGCGCAGGAGTATAACCAAAACTAACGTAAGAAATTATTATCATATTTTACTCTCTCTCGTGATTATACCTAGGCAAAGATATCACTTTATGGCCGGTATTGCAAAATATTTTAATGGAAATATTTTTAATAAAGCTAATGAAGAAGTTGATCTAAATGCCAGAAAATATAAAAGAAAAATAATCGGCCTCTATTTTAGTGCTCACTGGTATGTTTAATATTGATTTTACATTAAATATCATGTAAGAATTTTTTTCTTAGGTGTTCACCATGCCTTGCCTTTACTCCAAGACTAATTGAATTTTATAGAGCACATGCTGAAGAAAAAAAATTCGAAATTATTTTTCTTAGTTCTGATTATGATGAACAATCATTCTACAATTATTATCAATATATGCCTTGGTTAAGATTAGACTACAGAGACAGAGTAAAAAAACAAGAGTTGGAATATAGATTTGGTGTCAATGGAATTCCAAGATTAATTTTATTGGATGGTGATACAGGAGATGTTATTCTTGCTGATGCAAGAGAACACATTGAACGACTAGATCCTCAAGGACAATATTTTCCGTGGAGTAATGTCGAAAGAGAACCCAGTTCATGTTGTTCTTGTTCTTTAATGTAATTTCATACATTTTCGAAATATCTAAAAGAAAAAAGTTAACTATGATATACGACTTTTTCAATGGCGATAATCTTTAAATTTTAACTAACAAATGCATTCGCTTAAAATGAGCTTAAATATAAGAAAGAAAGGATTTGAACAATTATTTTTATTTATAGCTTATGAATAAAAAAGTCTTTTTTACTATGTGCGGTATGATTAACTCCTATGTTGCTAATTAATACTCGCAGTTACCGCCATATGTATTACTACCATTGGTAAATGAAACTTACAATACTTAAACTAAGTTTCAAAGAGTTCTTCAAGCACCATAACTCAGCTTCAAGAGCAACATTTAATACCATCCAATATTTTCAGTCATATCGACTTATATAAGAATAATTCTGTCAATAATACTGGACACATCTACATATAAAAATTTCCAATAGCTTCTTATTTAGTTATTTTAAGTAGATAAGTGAACAATATTCCGCGTCACAATGCAAACTAACAGAAAAAAAATAATTGGTAAAGACTGCGAGTGAGAGTGCATGTGAAATAATATATTTCTGTGTCGTCTGCCTGTGATTTGTGGCGATTTCCAGTAGTATCTGATGGTTCTTCCCAATTATTAGCGGCTTTTAATACTTTCTGAAGACTGTTGCCACTTCCTGACAGCTCCCACATATTCATAACAGTTTCGCAGGACTTTCTCATCTATATATTATGCTATTCTTCATCTGATTTAGAAAGCAAAATATTCTCTAAATGGTATTTGAATATTTCATATGCTATCAATATAAAATGAGCTAGTAAATGATCAACAAGCAACTCTAACATATAAATTAATGTAGTAAAATAAAAACAAAGTGCCATTTCTAATCTTGGTGACGTATATATCGTCTGTGAGACGTTAAATCTTCCCTTCATGACGAGGAAGTTGCTTTTATAAATTTGTATCGACAAATAGAAAAAACAATTATCCTTTTTTTTGCTTTACCACTTTGCAACACATAAAGAATTACGTGCACATATTTGGCAAACGATACATAATAATTTTCTGTTAATGACGTCAACAATAAAAATAAAAAAAAATATTCCATAATTTCCTGATCATCCCATATATATAAATATATATATCAAATAAACTTCAATTACGTTATTTTTTTATTAGATTAAAACAATTTATACAAAAACTATTGCATATCCTTAAGTCAGAATTATATATAAAATTATCTCTTAATTGAATATCACAATTATTAAAAAGATCTCTTTTACTTACTTTAATAAACTTCTTAACATATGTGAAGTTTTTGCTTTCTCTCATGTTATTTGTCTTGTTGCTATTTCAGCGCTCGGAATAAATATAAAAAGCAAAATAAATCATTATATTTATCTTCAGATTAACGCTACATAAAATTATAAAAAAATACTTATTTTTTGTTTCATTTGATTAAGAAATGACGTTTGTAACATTACTAGTGTTGCTCACATCTTTTATTATTCTTCATGCGCAATATTTTGTATACAATTCGGATGATCGATATGAAATTAATGCAACATTTGATTGTTTATATGCATATTCAGGAGATACATTAGCAGATACAACACTTCTGTCTAGTCATGATTACAGTTTAATTCCTTATTGTCGACGACTTGATGGAACTGAAAAAGAAGAAGAAAATTTCTCTACCATACCGTACAAAAACATTTTAAATAGCATGACGTTTGCTGAGTTATATCGACAAGGTGTAACAAGTAGGGAATTACTCAAATGGTCAGTACCAATTGATATTATCGAACGATATGACAGAACTGGCCAGAACTCGAATGAAATATTTCACAATTGTTCATTACCATGGTTTGGTTCGATATGTCAATATAGATTTCAATCTACTGTACTACCTTCATTTAATAAAGTTTTTCAATTTCATTATGATATTAATGATATAGCTGAAATATACATCTATTCAAATACATGTTATCCATTTTTACCTGACTGTTATCGTGGTCCATCACCGATGTGTCTTGATTGGCATGAAATTTGTGATGGATATTTTGATTGTCTCTATGGGGAAGATGAGCAATTATGCGACACATTAGAAGTGAATGAATGTTTTGAAGATGATTTTCGTTGTCATTTCGGTGGACAGTGTATTTCATCTACATTTCTTCGTGATGGAAAAACAAGTACTGATTGTCTTGACGGTTCAGACGAAGTCTACCCAGCAAAATACTCCAGATACGTAACTGACCATCTATGTACAAGCGTATCAACATTTCAGTGTGAAGAACTCAATGATCGACGTCCTCTTGTATTATTTCCATGTCGTAATTTTCCTAGTCCCTCCTTTTGGACAGAATCTACGACAAACAGCCGTGACATCTGCGATGCAAATCGATATTATTATATGTTTTTTAATGTTTTCACTTCGTTAGACCACATTTCAAACATATCCTGTAGACAAGCATTCTATTGTTCACTTCGTTTCTCTACTATTATTCACTTTAAATATAATGACACAAGCAATACTGGTTGCGAATTTCTTGGTAATCATTGTCCGTCGGAATGGCTTCTGTTACCCAAATCTCCTTTCATATATGGCTTGTTTCAATTTGTTTATTTAACAAATCGATCCGTCGATGAGTTCAAACATAATATCGC